GCTTGGACCGTAATACCCTAATTGTAATGTGCATTGTAACAGTAAGCCTGTAGGATGGCTTAGTACAATATGAATAGTCTTGTGAAGAGATAACAGCTTCTCTAAAGCTTGTGATCAGCATTGGAATTTCAAGGAATTTTTTCAGTCAGTACTATCTCCAAAATAAAACACAGCAGAGGAGATATTCTTATGATTTGCAGAGCCTGTTTATTTCCTTGCTGCTCTTGATTCTTGATGAACCTTCTTTTTCATCAGACAGTGACAGTTAAGATGATGAGTGTGGTGTAGTCTTTGTTTCCTGCTAGAAAAGTTGGATGAGGCCATTTACTTCAAGGAACTGGATTTTTGTAGCAAGCTTTGTTCTGCATAGTCTGTAGGTGCCGAATTTTCCTAAGCAAGAGGGTAAAGGAGAAGTTGCACTAAAAAGTGTTTATTCAGTTACCGGACTGCAGGGATTGAAGTTAAATATTGCAGAGTACTTTTCGATAACAGAAAGTAAATACAGCTTCCATTACATCCTCCTTTAAAGGAAGACTTTGGGTTAATGTGTTTGCACGTTAGTTTCATGTTTAAAACTGAACACTCTAAAAGGAAAATAAAACTAAAATAGCAGATTTTGTTGCCATGTGTTTCCAGAGTCTCTTTGTAGGCTGTCTGTTTTTGATTTGATTGCTTTGTGACTAGGATTTTACTACTTGGAGACGAGGGAAAGCAAATAAGCATTGAGTGTTGGTATTAAAATAAATGCTTGCCTTAGGATATCTTATATTTAAAAAATACATGCCAGGAACACTTTAGCCATATCATGTATTTTCTCCCTGAATATTTTGGTTTTATTGAGGACTCTTAATGTCTTGGCTATAAAACCATTGTCACACACCATTAATCTAAGAGTTGGATACTTCAATGGGTGCTTTGATTCCTAGGCAGAAAGAGGGGGGACTGAGTATCCTTTCTTTATGTATACTGTCTCCTCTTGGAGTAGCTGAGCTGCTATTTCAACACAGATGGCCTCATCTTGTGTGCTTTGACTTCTTTAGCATTATCTTGCAGTGAAGGTACCTGCTGTGTTCCAGCTACCCCAATTAAATATGCAGCTGTCAAGGTTGGATCTCCACCTTTGGAAACAGGCTTTTGGGAAATGTTTGCTTTCTTTTCAATGTGTGCATTTTTGGATGTTATAAGCTGCTGTGTGGTGAGAATTTTTTGTTACTGCCTAGGGAGTATCTCTTTCTATTCTGCTTTATGGCACTAACTTCTGCAGAGATGCTGTGCAGGTTGTGTGTTTACAACAGCAATGCTGGCCAGCTCAGTTGTACAAAGTAATGGGAATAAAGCTTTTTTTTTTAAACCTAATGCATCAGGTTTTTATATTCAGCTTTAAATGCATTATAATCAAAGCTGTTCAAAGAGCATGCTTTCTGAAGCCTGTCTTAAGGAGGAAATGCTGTCTTTATTTACACAGCTCTATTGGCAATGGCTGAAAAGTGAAAGTGGATAAGCTTGCTGGGAAGGATAGAGGAAGAAAGGTTCTGTCACTGTTTTCAGTGACATGAGACCTCAAGAAAGGGCCATAGAAGACCAGCAAGTAGTTCTAACCTATTATCTGTGGTAAAAGGTTGTCAGAACGTTTGTTTCTTAACCAAGTGCTGTAAGTGGTTTTATGCAGCTTCCTAACATAGGTCAGTTATCCTAGCAATTGTAAATTGAGCAGATGATCTACACTGAAGATGATGATTTCATGTCACAAGAGGCAAAACACTGGAGAGGTCCAAATACAAGCATCAGCAGATAAGCATGTGCATACCTCAGCTCCAAGGAATCCAGGAAATAACTTTTTTGTTCTGTATGATGGGTGTCAGCTATGTAGAAGGGCTTTTTCCTTCATATTGTGCTGCTGGATTTCTTCAGTGTTAGGTCAATTCATAAATTGTTCCAAGTGAAAAGTTCCAAGACCAAGTAAAATTGTTCCAATAAAAATTCCAAGACCGAGTCCTGTTGATTTAGAGGGAAAGTGGGAGGGCTGCTGTGGGTTTCCATACAACTCCTTGCTGTCTGGCAGTGGTGTTGCTCAAGAATCTGTGAGGAGGCTGGGGGGGCTGCAGAGCTTGTCTGTCAGCTATTAGAACTGGTAGATTCAGTGGCAAGTGCTTGTGTTTTCAAGCCATTGTCTGGTATCAGATGCAACTTCAGACACCTTCTGGTTTAGTGTATTAATACTAACTTATTTGTGTCAAATAACTATAGAATGTATTGGGTTGGAAGGGACTGCTGAAGGACATGTAGTCCAACCCCTACAACAGGCAGGGAGATCTCTAACCAGATCAGGTTCTACATGAAGTAGCTCTTCAAGTAGTTGCTGTGTCTTCATGGCAGTTACTGTCAGTTTTCAGCATGGCATTATCTTTCTCAGGACTTAGTCGTGTCATGATTGTCAAGCCCCAGGTGAATTTAGGATACTGTACATGAGATTCCGTCCTGAAGTTGATTCATGACTGTCAGCTTCCAGGAATGTCACCTTCCAAACTGTTCCACTAAGAGTCACTAGTTTGGGAGTTGGAACTGCTGACTTTTGTCTCCTTCCATGTGCTTTTTCAGTCTCACTGCTGGTTTGTTCTTCAATGGCTTCTCCATGAACTTGTGCTTCTAGTAGCAGAGGACAACATTCCAGCAGTATTGGATAAAACACAAAGCTCAGTATTTGGCCTCCTGAAGTATACATTCTGTCTTCAGATTTTGGGTGCTTTCATGATGTGAAGGTAGTATAATATGTTTGTGAACACGTGTTCAAAGATAAGAGTATTACTACTGCACACTACAGACTTATTTTATGGACAAATCCTTCTTATGCATGTTTGAGAATGTTGCCATGTCCTTGCCCCAAAAGCAAAGAAATTGTTTTTGTATTGTGTAACGTGGGCTGTGGGATGGCTCTTGGGTAACTCAGATACAGCTTCTGAGCTTGGGTTACCTCATAGGGCCAACAGTTGTGCTTGTGCTGCTGTGGGAGCTCCTGGGCAGCCTCCACAGCTGCAGAGGGAAGCAGGACGCCAGGGCTGCTGAAAAAGACACCTCTGGGTCACTGGGAACACAGCTGCATTTCCAGCCTGATCCTAGGGAAGCTGCTGTGTTCATAGGGTGGGGATATGATGTTCCTTTAGCTGTCCAAGATGAGCTGTGGTTTATGGCTCCAAGCTGCAGAAGTACCTGATTGTGTGCCACCCAAAGGAGGGAAGACTAGCCAAGCCTGCAGCCATTACAGGAATCCAGATACTGCTTGTTCCATGTAGCTATAGAATTGAAATTTCATCCTGTTTCTGAACATTAAAGAAATGTGACATCTTCACCTAAAAAAACAGCTGGATGTCTTTTCCCTGTGCTTAAGCTAATTTAGTGAAAATGGATCCTTTCCTCCCTGTCTGTGTTGTACTGGTCCTCAGCTGTGCAAACCAGCTTGAAGGGCATTGCCAAACTCAAATTTGAGACTGAGCTGCCCTGAATAAACCTCATGAAAGGAGCTTAAGCCTGTGAATGAAAAGATAAGTCACTGATTACATAGTGAAATTGGACTACTGCAGACTGAACTATTAGAGGCCTTGTGTGAGAATATCTGTCAGATTTATTTTTTTTATGATGGCAAAAACTAACCTGTGTTGACAGCTACTTGGAAAAGCCTCCTGAAGCCATAGTCTTAGGCTGAGGAGGTATCTTAGGTGGTAAAGAGCTGCTCAAGTCTTCTCCAAATCATGAAGTACTTCAGCTGTGAGGGATTAGGTGTCCTGATTTCACTTTGCTCTCAGAGGTATATGTGGCTTTCTGCAAAGAGCTATGAGCAGCATCTGTTCTCCAGCTAACAGGCTGGGTGACTCTGCATGGATTTGCCCTTGTAGGAGCAGTTACTAATGTCATGGCTTCTAAAATCTTGATCTTGCAGAGGAAAATGGAACATAGTTCTGTTAGTCAAGCAGGATACTTGAAGTGATCTCAGTGGATAACTTGAACTAAATAGGAAGCTACTCATGTGAAAGAGCAAGAATTAATCTAATTAAGTCTTAAAAAAAATACTCTTATTGTTCACATTGTACTATCTCATTAAGTTCTTGGAAGCCCAGGAGCTCTGTTTTCCCATTTCTAGGGGTGCTTGCTTTATTACCAGTCCTCCAACAAAAATGCAGCTTTTTAGCTCTGCAAAACATGGCTCTGTTAGAAATACACTTATTGATGGGTTTGGTTTTCCTCTTGTCTCTTCAGGCAAAACTGTATCTCCTCTTTGTAGCAACAGTTTAATCGAGGTGTTCTGGGACTTTAGTGGTGACAGATCTTGATCCTTTATTATGAGAAATGTAGGTTTGAAAACAATTTCTAAATTTACAAACATACCACTTCAAACTTGCAGATTCTTCTGCATTTGAGGGATTCAGTGTACAGTAAGATCAACTATTTCTAGAGTGTTACTGGAATAGTTTTAGGTGCTGCTTTTTCTGTGACTGTGTTCCCTTCTGACTACCTATTGAAATCCCACAAAGGGAAGGAGGACACTTAAGCTTATGCTTACCGCTTAAAAGCCTTAGACTGTTTTTCTGAATTACTGGGTAAAACTAATGTGCTTTTCCAACATGAAGAAGCTTTAAAACTGATTTTAAAATTTTAAAACTTCATTTCCTGATTTTTACTTTAAACTAACAATAGATAGAATTTTCAAAAAATACTTAGGAAGCCAAGTCTTGGAAAGGCAACTGCTTCACCAAGGGACTGTTGCTGCATTTCTCTTGGCTCCTCAGTTAAGTCATATCAGCCAAATAATTGCTTTAATGCCTTCTAGTCCTAACCAGGTGTTGTACTAAGCAGAATCAAATGTATTTGCTTTCATTCTTTGAACTATTTTCTAGTTTCAACTCCAAATACTGATAAAAGGGTAATACTTGTGCATAACTGGTGTCTTTTATTACAGGGGGAAGATTCTCTTTAACGTGATCACTCACAAGTGATAGTTCCTTATCATGGCTGAACTATCACCTGAAGAAATTCAGCTGCGGGCCAACCAGGTCACTGATGAGGTAAATGTTACAGGAAGCCATCTGGGATTACAGTATTTATCTGCCAAGATTACAGTATCTTTTAAAAATACAGTCTAGGGTAGTGGTTCTGCAAAGGTACAGCTGAATGTTTCAGACTCTCACTTTACCTGGCAAATAATGGAGCAAAGATTACTACTCAGTAAGGATGAATTTAAACTTCTCAATTGTAAAGCCACCTACTTGACTGAGTGATGATCACCCAGTCCTGACTGCTGAGACAGTACAGGCTGGATACCTGATCTATCCTTAATCATGTTTATACTTCATTGTTCTTTTAATTTAACTAATTCTTTATTTTCTCTTACAATGACTTTCCAGTGGAATAAGCAAAGTACTAGCAAGTACTAAGAAACAAAGGTTTGCCACCTACTGAAAAAATAAACTAGTATACTGCCCCTGCCTATCTTCTAGCAGGTATTACATACAGACAGGCTGATGAACTTTGTTGCCTTACCAACTGGTAAAGAAGATTTTCAGATGCTGATATGCTGTTAATGCACTCATTTTAAAATTCTCTTTCTAGTCTTTGGAAAGCACAAGGAGGATTCTTGGCTTGGCCATTGAGGTAAGGAAAAGCTTTTTAATTTCCTGGGGGCGTATTAATTGAAGTATAAGAAGCAGCATGTTAGCTATCGTAAGGTGATTTTAATCACTTTTTTGTCTTTCTCAAACATTTTTGAGACACACTTCATTATTAGAAGTTAATTCATTATTGCAAGTAGTTGCTTGAATTCAGTAGTAGAGTTGGTATGACTTAAACCTCATGTTTTTCACACTGTGTAATGTCAGATCACAGAAGGATAAATAATCCTTATCTGTTTCCCTTTTAAGCAAAATGGCCTTATTTATGGCTGCAGCATCAATTGCTTCTCCTAATATCTGTTTGTCTTTTGGCTCACTTTGGCTGTGAACAGTGTGAAAATGTCTTGCTTCGAGGAGTAGGGTAGGGTTGGGCTGGCCGTAGGGTAGGGTTGCTTTTGGTTCTAAACAAAAGTAATACTACATACACCTTACTATCTGTTCATCAGTTTTCACTTCAAAGTTGTTTAAGTGTGATGATGAAACTCTTAATGCCCTTGTACATGACTTGAAACAAATCTGTGTTTTGGGTTTATCTAGGTGACTTTGTATGGGGAATCTGTTCCTCTACACTGTTACAGCTTGTGTGCACCACTGTAAAAATGAAACTTTACTTTTGATACTGTAGTTGCAAAAAATACAGAGCATCCTGTTGTAGGGCATAAAATAAGCTGGCTTACAGTCAGCTCTTGTAGACTTCACAAGGCTTAACTGTTTCAGGAACACAATATTGCTAGTCCTTGGATATACCACAGACAAATGGGAATCCAGAGACTAAGCAGTAAGGCATTTCAAAGCTAATGCCCAGACTTTTTGTGCTGACATATCTTATTGTCAGTATGAGAACACTAAAAACTTATCCAATGAATAAGGACCCTAGAGTGTGTGGTCACTACTGCTTTAGAGCCTGTACTTGCTGTCCAGACAGTAGCAAGCTACTGGGACTGAGGATGCTGCTGTTATCAGTGAGGTGTTTGAGTTGCTGTAGTCTAATGAATACCTCTCAAACACAAGCATTAAGAGCATGTAACAATTTCTCTTGGATTGATGAGTTGTAGAAGGTAAAACAATTCCTATCAGACAGAGTTCCTTGCTGCCACTTCATAGTAAAGCATGGAGGCAGCTTGCATGCTAGAGTCAAGACTTGGAGCCAGCAAAGAGCTCAAAGTCTCTCCTCACTGCATTTCTCACTGCTGATTTCTTGTGTGGTTCAGAAACTAGGGATGGGCTCTTCTCTTCCTGACTTGTTCTGCTGAATTCTCAGGAGTGGCTTTGCAGGCTTTGGTTTGCTTTCTTTTCTTCTGCCTTCCAGGACTAAAGGCCTTGTCAGCTCCATCTAAGGTTGTAGGGTAAAGAATGAACTAAATGCAACTTCTCAAAACAAGGCACAGCTATGTTTACTTTTTTAGCTTGACATTGTCATAGTTTAATCAGAGTATTACAATATTATCATCTTGTACAGTAAAAGAACCTCACAAAAAAAACTAATTGAGATAGTGTAACAAGTGAGACTGTTGTCAGCCTAACATAGGATCTAATTTGGAACTTAGAGTAGCTTTACTACAGAAGTTACTCCTAGCCCAGAGTTTTGAGTTTGGGTGGCTTACCAGATTTACTGTGTAGACCTGATTTTGCACTGCTGTATTGAAATCTATTTTTATATCTGCAAATATGTTTTTCTTCAGTCCCAGGATGTTGGCATCAAAACTATCACCATGCTGGATGAACAGGGAGGTGAGTTCTTTCTTCCTCTCTGACATTAAAAGTCAGTTGGACTTCAAGACACAGGATTGTCATTCAAGAGTTGTTGCTGAAAGTAAGGGCTTATTAAAGACTTTGTGAAAAGGAGATTGGCTAATTGGTTATTCCCATGTGTTCTGGTATTTAAGAGGTTTTAGAGTAGTTGGGGGTAACTGTGTTATGTAATACAGCTCTGCTACAGAAGCAGTTCCTTTCCACCATAGTGTGAATGCATTTATTCCACAAGCAGCAACAAAAGTGTTACTCTGAGGGTAGAGAAAATATTTTTAATGTAGTAAACTGAGCTTATCACATAATATTTTTCTTTTTTTAAGAAAACCCAGAAGGCAGGAAAGAAAAAGGGCATTAGTCTTGGTATAAAGATAGAACTGGAAATTGTAAGTTCCTGCTTGAGAGAAATGTTACTGTCCCACCCACACCTTCCCCATTCCATGTGTATCCAGGTTATTGTTTCTCTTCTAGAACAACTCAATCGCATAGAAGAAGGCATGGACCAGATAAATAAGGATATGAGAGAAGCTGAGAAGACACTGACAGAGCTCAACAAGTGCTGTGGGCTCTGTGTCTGTCCTTGTAACAGGTCAGTCACAATTGTACTTGTGTCTGAAGTTCTAGACTATTTGCAATAGCTACTGTACTGGGAGATAGTCTCTGATAAAAGAGCTAACTAAAAAATGTTGAATCCCTGGGAAGGTTGACTGTTTTGGGTTGTAGAGAGGTATCCTTTTAAAATTGCATGAGTAGCTAAAGCTTACTTACATCTAACCATATATTGTGCCCCTTTTGCTGTAAATACAGCTGTTGTATAACATCCTGCACAGTCGTGCCCTAATCCCCTTAAAGCTTCTATTTAGTGGAATACTATCCATGTCCATACAGATGAGACCAAATTGGACTGCAGATAGTATATGTAAGTGCCTGTTAGAAATTTGGCTTCCAAAAATCTTTTTTACTCCACAAAAGTACTTGTGTACTAACTCAGCAGCCAGAAAACGTCTGGTTTGGGGAAGGGAAGGAGAGTAACGTTGGTTCTCTAGGCACTTGGGAAATGTTCCTGCTTTAGGGAGGAAGAGAGTAGAATAGATGCTGTTAAAGCTTTAATCTTTCTTCTAGTGACTACATTTTTGCAGACCTTCACAGTACCTTTATAACATCCATGCAATGCCTACTGTATTCAAGACAAATCTAATCTTTTGTATGCCACTTGATTTACATTTCTGAACAGCTTGAACAGTGATGAGAAATCAGTGTTATTAGGAAAACAGTAGTTTTTTTGGAGGTGCCCTAGCTTTATCTTTAAGCAGCAAAGTGTCAAATTGATTTGTGTTAGTTGAATGTAATCGTAATTCACATAGGAGAAACAAGAGTGTGACCACTGAAGTGAATAATCTGTGTGTTTATTTTTTAGCATGAGGAAAAAAAACCCTTAGGCAACTGAGAGGTAGCAGAAATTTAGGTAACAATCCCTTGGAGTAGCCGAGTCTGCTTATCCAACAGAATAATCCCTTGAGGCTTGTTCAGGAAAGAGATGGTTGTGGCTTTTAAGGTTTGAAAGTCTACAGTGTTTTAACACCTTGAAAAGGCAGGTAGTTCTGTCCTAATTTGGATAGGTGTACTTACTGCTTTGTATTAATTTTGTCCCCCTGATGTGCATTTTGACACACTCAGTCATTGTTTTGTGTAGTTGTCTTATTTCGCCAAAGCTAAGCAACTTATTCACACTGAGCAAGAGCAGAGTTTGGACTTTTGTGGTGCTCTAAATACCCAGATAACAATAAAATAAATGAGTTGTGTACCAAAATGGGCAGTAACATGCAAAAAACTCTACTAGAGAAGTAGAGGGCAGTGAAGAAACTGAATGTCTTTTATACATCCACTGGTAAATCAACTTTTTCTGTCGATGTCAGTTACTTGTCAACCAGTTATCTCCAAAGCTTTTATTTTTTTAATACATCTAAAGCAGAACACTTCCTGCATTAAATATTGTTTTTGCTCATTTCCCCTAGTCTTAGATGATTTATAGAAACTTTGTGAAAACACAAAATACCGACAGTGCTCTAATATAATCTGTGTACTAATAACAATTTACCTGTTTGCTGGTCTTTACTGTTCTTTCTTCTCCCTTCTCTCCTGACACTAATGCTTGCTTTCTAAAAACGAAGACTAGGATAAGAAGCTGTATTCACTTAACTGCTGAAAAGCGGATTTTAGGACAAGGTCAGTCTTGGCAGTGCAGATGTTCACTTAACCAGCTGTCTGAACTGATACTTTGACTGGATTTGTGCTTGCATGTGCATGATGTCTGCATGCAGGTCTCCTTGTGACTGTGGTGTATTGCTGTACTGATGTGAATAGAAAATGTCAATTGCTATAGAATGTACTAGCTGTGGAAGTGTTGAACAACTGCTTGAGCCCTTGCTGTTTTGACGGGTTGCCTTACCCTTACAGAAAGGAAACATGAGGAACAGCTCTTAAAAAAAATAAAATAAAAAAATTGAGTGGTGAGAAGCTTTGTTCTTAACTGTGTCTAGTTTGAGCACCAGTCCTGATTTTAGCTGTCTGTTTCAGATGTGCAAGTCGTTTTCAGGGTAATTGTTTTTGTTCAATAAACTCTTCAGTTACCTCTGGCACCTAAGACTTTGCTGATCCAGAAACCAAGCATGCAAAGGTCTTCTGCTGCTGCAGCTCTAGTATGAGTAAGATTAAAATAGAATGCTCACTCTGGTTGCAGTAAACTTGAAGAGATCTTTAAGCCTGTGTATGCACAAGGAGCTAGAATTGACCAGTTTAGGTTTCTTTAGAGTCCTGCTGGGTGCAACAGTTCATTGTAAACTGAAGAAGTTACTCAATTTCTTCCCCTTGATGTGTTCACATTAGATTACTTTTCACAGGATCTGACCTATGAAAAGCAATTTTCCATTTTGATTACTTAAGTGCCAGAAGAATTAGGGGAATATTTGCTTCATCACAGCTAATTTCATGCCTCTTCAAGTGTTGAACATCTGGAAACATCTGAAAGACAGTATAGATATAGAAATTGGTTACTTGTACTTGTAAAGCAAGATGTACAGAAAGAAGCTGCAGATTTCCCTTCACAGGCTTTTAAAGAAGCAGTGGAGTCTGGATTATCTAGTTTAAACCTGAAAATGCCAGCAAACAAGGTGAACATGAGAATATTCTTCTCAAAATATGTTCTTTAGAATGAACCCACTAGTTCATGAGAACTGACCCAAATTTAGAGCAGTTATTTTTCTATTATATTTTCTTCCCCTTTTGCTTTTGTGTGTCTGTGATTCTTGGAAATTGCTTCAGGTCAATGTGCTTTTTAATTTTTTTTCTTGTCTGAATTATGTGGTAAAAGTAATGGTAAGTTGGTTTGTTACTTGAATGGAGTTAGTACAATTGAATTGCTGAGTGAAGCAGCTCTTTGAACATGATTACTGTTGTTTCAGGATTAAAATTAACCTGAAAACATTAACTTTAAAAGGAGAGACTTAACAGTGGAAAACATTTGACACAAACCCAGGGATTTAAAGTTTTCTCACATAATGCAGCTGCTTGTATTTAGAGAGGTTTTTTTTTTTCCATCCCCATTTGTTCCTGAAAAGTAACTAATCCTGATTCTAGACAATCTCCTGTTACAAATGCAGCTTTATCCTTATGACAGTAACTGGAAAGCTTACACTAAAATCAACTTCCCTTTTGGTAAATTATGTCATTTAAAGGAAATTACTGTGCTTCTCTTAAAGCTTAACACCAAATTAATTGCTGTCTCTAGAGTAACTCAGTTATGTTTGTACTCTCCCAGTAATAGAAATTGTACTGTATAGGCAAGGCTTTCTCAACACAAAATCTCACCTTTCAGGAGCCAGACAAATGTTTCTGACAATCCTAGATTAATGCAGAGCTGTAGTCTGGAAGCCATTACTTCTGATGTAGAAGTTCTGATTTCTTATTTTCATGGAGCAGGGTGAAGAACTTTGAGGCTAGTAAGGCATACAGAGCAACCTGGGGAGATGGAACAGAGAACTCTGCAGATCATGTGATATCCATGCAGCCAAGGAGTATGAATCAGCAGCAGCCTCAGACTTCAAGAGGACCAAGTGGTGGATATATCACAAGGTTGGCTTCATATGTCTCAATCTCAAACACAGAAATCTTGTGTTACCAGTTGTCAGCATCTTTCAGATGCATTTTAGTTAAAGTTGTTAAATAGCAAGTTTTTTACTACTGCTTGGAGGAGTTGTTGCTGCTTGGAGGAGATGGCAGACACATTTTCAGTATTGTGGTGCTCATCTTACAATTTGAGGACTATAGAGCTTAATGTTCAGTAATTGAGCAGCCTGTTAAAAATATCAAGGACTTTTATTGTCATGAAGTATATTTGAGACAAACTCATGTCTTAAACTTCCTGTGGTAGCAGTTTGTTTTAATTTCTAAGGCTATTTTTGTAATAGTGGCTAGTTTAGCACCTTTTTTTGGTGGGTTACTTGCTTGGAACATGGGCTTTTCAAAGAGGAAAAGCATACCTTGGCTTGATTGCCTTGCCTGTCAGATAACTGTGCAACAAACTTTCTGTTAAAGTAAATTTAGGGTAGGAAAAAGCAAATTCTTGATTCTTGGAAATGTCTTAATTTGAACAGGATAACAAATGATGCCAGAGAGGATGAAATGGATGAAAATCTTGCTCAAGTGGGAAACATTCTTGGGAATTTGAAAAGCATGGCTTTGGATATGGGCAATGAGATTGATGCCCAGAATAAACAAATAGACCGGATAAATGTAAAGGTAAGTGTCAAAGGTGTTCTCTGCCTTGGGCTTAGAGCCTGTTACTGAGAGGTTACAAGGGGTGGGATCACTGTCACAGCTACCTGTATTTGCAGTAAGTATGCATTGAAGTTATACTATCCTCTAGGTTGTAGTGATTTGAACAATGTCTTGGTCTTTGGGTATGTGGCTGAAAATTCAAATGCTTCAGAGTGTCAGAAAAACCTCAAAACAGTGCAGGTCACTGCTCACTCTGAAAACAATTAAACTTGATTGGATCAAAAGGGAGTTTGCTGAAGGCAGAGCTGGGGGATTGTTGCTTGCAGGGAATCTTTTGTGGTAGGGAACAGGTATTTTTAGCAACAGCTAGGTTCTTCTGGAGTTCCTAAAAAGTCACTGTAATCACTGAATGTAAAATAACCCAAAGGTAATTCCTTGCCCTACTTCTTGTGAAGAGTTTAATACTGGGGCTGGGAAGATTTTGAAATAATAGGTTTTGTAGGCTCACAGGGACACCATCTGCCCTCATCTGTACATGAAATTAGTCATTGCCAGTAACATTTTTTTTTTTTAAATTTTATTGCTTTAAAGATTAACTTCCCAAAACAGATGAATCATCTATAAATATTTTGGTTTTTTCTTTCAGAGGGCAACTTATGAGGAAGTTAATTGTATTTTAGAAATCCCCATACTCTGAAATGAATAGAAGCTTTTACAGGCATCCTGGTTAAGAAAGGAAATGAAAGCTATGATGAGTAGTATATAGTAAAGATTTTAAAGCAGACGTGAACACCAATTGCTGTAAAACTGTGGAGTTAAGACAAAATGGGCAGTTAAAGATACCACTGAAATGCCTGGTAGGTGTAAAAGCACAAAGAATAGAATTTTCTCAAACGTACAGAAATAGTCTGACATAGATGCTGGTGGTACCTATGTCAGCATCAGTTTTGTCTAGTAATTTAGGGGTTGTGGTATTAATAAGGCAAAGCAACATGATCTTCTGGAAGATGCCTTAATTGTCTTGCAGTGTTCCCTGAAATGGCAGATCTGGGGTGATCATCAAGTGAAAACAGTCAAACACCTTAAAGAGCACTAGAAAATTTAATGAGACTTTAAAATCAGATGTGAAATTCTTGCAGCTTAAGTAGACTGAAAATTGCCTGGTCAAGTTAAATGCAAGTGGGAATTACTGGTTTTAGCAGTAGTGTTTCTGGTAGCTTCAAGCACCTGGTTTGGACTGATGCTCTTTTGTTTTACTGGTCTGAATAAATCTTGCTGATCAAGTCTTAAAAGATGATATAAACAAGTTAGAATTGCTTTACAAGACAACAATAAAAATGAAAGTGCAATTCTTGGCTTTGAGACTGGCAACATCTTTCAGGATATATGAATTAATCCTTTTCTGCTGGGAACTGTTTTTATATCTAGTCATAGAATGTTTTAGGCTGGAAGGGACCTCTGGAGGTCATCTGGTCCAACCTCCCTACACAAGTAGGGACATCTCTACCTAGGTCAGGTCACCCAGGGCCCTAGTCAAGAGTGTAAAAACCAAATCAAAATGTTGAAGATAAATCACTGAAGCACAGTATCATTTAAAGAAACAGCAGTGTTAAGCTTAACCTCAGAATAGAGTTTGCACTAAGCAAAATAATCCTGACTTTATGCCTGTAGATCACTTCCAGTTTTGAATATTACTTCTAGTCTAGAGCAACAAAGCTGCTCTATAGAATCATTAACATGTGTAAACACTTGAAGAGAGGGAATTTTTATGCCCTTATTCTGTTAATATTCTGGACTTGCTGAGGCAAGATGTTGTATGTTTTGAGGGTCTGCTAAAGGCTTCAAAACTGTCTCCTGATTCTGCCAAAATTGGTGGCATATACTGGCTGAGAGGGTCGTGGGGTGGAATACTTCCAGGTGATAAAAGCTGCTCCCCTTCTGTACACCACAGTGGTAATACCCTGCAGTTCAGAAGTTGATGTCAGTTTGAATTTTTAAATTGCTTTGCATGGAGCCTGCAAATGACACATGACTTCCTCTCTTTCAGGCTGATACAAACAGGGCACGCATTGAGCAAGCCAACGTCAGAGCCCAGAAACTGATTGACAATTAAAGCCTGCTCTCATTGTTCCATGACACTGTCTCTCCAGCTGCAAGCCACCATATTTTTGGATCTGCAGAACTTCTTTTCTGAAATAAGAGGAGCTGGGAAAAATGAAGCAGTACCCTTTCTACAGGGATTAATTTTCTTTTTATTTTTTTATTGCTTCATGTAAATGTGGCCTTGACTTCAAGAAAGCAGTTAACAAATTCCTCCTACTCATCTGCCTTCACTTTCTTTCAGGTGCTCAGGGCTAAAAGCATTATGGCTTTGAGGATCTTCTTGCATGTTTTATTCCCCTTGCCAGTCTTTTTTATTTCCTGCACCCGAAATACAGTCCTTTACTGAAGGTTAACAAGCAGGGTAACCTGAAATCACAGTTGTGGGAAGTTGCAGAGGGCACTTTGCACTGTTTGAAATACCTCATTGTTGAGTGTCTTCACTAAAATAGGGATGTGGTGAGTGTTGTCTGACTTGGATCTTTAGCAGGCTAACCATAGTTTTACAGTCCCAACCACATGATTGGTTTGGGGTGGAGTTTGTGGGTTACAGAATTGAGGAAGCCCACTACTCACTATATGTGGGTGGAGGGCTTTAAAACACTTCCTAACTACACAAACCTTAATGTAAAGATAACTGGAGGGATGGATACACAGGTTTCCATTTCTTTACTGTAAATTGACATCAGTTTGGAGGCCGTGACTAGGAAATAATGCTACATTGTTCTGATAATATTTGTTGTCTGTACATATACCTGTTCTAAACCCCATGCACATGTGAGTGGAAGAAAATAAAATTGTCTCCCTAAAGTATTTATTTGATAGAAATTTTTAAGCCCCTCATATAAAAACCTAACATTTAAAATTCTGAATGATACATCTTAACAGAGGAAGAGCCAGGCAGAAAAAGCACAGAGCTGTCTTGCATCCAGTATCAGGTTGTATTTTGGCTAGTTCAGTTTATGCCTTTCTCCAGTGCAATATGATGACTGAGGTCTGGTGCAGAGGTGGCTCTCAGCAGTGACCCTGGGGGAGCTTCATAAACCTCCTGAAAACAGAAAAGCTTATTATGAGACTCTGTCACAAGCCTGGAGGAAGCAGTACCTACTCAAGAACCGTATGCTAGTTCTGAATAAACTAGTTCTAAATAGATTCCTGGCTGGCTTAGTTTGGCAGAATTTAGGACTGGCAATTGGAAACACTACATGTCCAAGTTGCTTTCGATTAAACTGTTCCTGTTCTGTTTCAGGGTAGAGGAGTTTCTGACCAGATGAGGTAAGGAGATAGCTTCCTATGAAAATCATTTTGGCTTTACTGTAACATAATCAGACTTATTCTGAGAGTTTTCTTGAGTATTTTTTTGTCAGTAACTTGTAAGTGACCTGTATAATGGTAAGCCCTCCTAGCAATGTATTATCCCTGTTTTAAAGGTGAAAATGATGCTTTGGACTGACCTGTGATAGTCAGTGTTGGATGGCAAAAGTCTTCAAGTGGATTGGAGGAATAATTTAATAGCATTATGAGGTGTTGTTTTTGGAAGGATAGTCCCCAAGTATATTGTAGCCATTAATAATGAATCCCAGGGCTAGAGAGATGACACTAATCTGCTGGCACGTATGACAAACTGTCAAGTGTTTTGTTTTCTTTTTAGAAGAAGCACAATCAGTATTACTGGTATAGTCACAGTTCACTCCCAGGACAACTTGATATTTAGAGGAAGGAAACAGAGCAAACACACACCAAAACACAAACACACAAAACAACCAAAAAATGACCAAAGGATGGGGCTGCTGCACGTAATAAATAGGCCAGTGGTAGACTGTCTTACATAATAAGGTGAAGTAATTTTTAGGGGACTGGATATTTCACTAGTGTGTGGTGGCTTCTGTCTGGCTTCCAGCAATTGTTGGACAGCTAGTGAATTTACAAGCTCATTATCTGCCCTGTTAGTAAATGAAGATTGTGCTTAGAAACACAAGTAGCAAAGAAGTACATTTAAGAACATCCTACAGTAAATTTCTAACCACCACTTCAATGGGAAAGCACTGGGGCTTTGTATGTTCTTTTTTTTTTTTCCTCCTCCTTACAAACTTCAGGTTAACTGAAGGATTATTTGCTGCTGGTTGTGAAAGCCAAGTATGTTATCTAATTATGATTGTCTCCTGGAACAGGAGACTCAAGCAGTGACCTTACTCTACTTCAACCATGCAAGCCTGCTCTGTAGCATCTGGATGTTCCAAATGTTGGAATGTTTTTCTCCCTTGCCATTACATGTCTGTGTTCTTAACTTCCCTGAGCTCTAACAACAAATTAGCATGTTGGCTGAGAGAACGCTGTGATTGGTGTACCAGAACTGTAATACTGTGATAAGTACCACACATGGAAATAATTCCTGAGACTCTAAGCTTGAGTGTTAGTGGAATATCAATACTGTTTTCTGATGCAGCAAGAGCCAAATCTGTGAGGGAGTTGGTGCCTTTGTGTTCATAAATGCCACAGTCTGCTTCTTGAGTTGTTCTACTGTTGTCTGTAGAATAGATGCTTAATTTCCTTATCTGTGGGATTGTACATCTTTGTATTTCTGAATGCTATTAAGAATGAAGGTTTACAACTTCTTTTGATTGTTAAACTATTGTGCACAAAAATACATACTTTTATAACTGAATGTGTTTTAAAACTCTCTTCTCTTAGAAACGTCTCTTGTTTAGTTTCCTGTCCTTGAAAAACTTGGCAGAACTAGCTGCTACTATGCAACTAGGAAGTTTCCCTTCTATTTTTGTTTCACAGAAGTCCTAATGCTAACAAAGGAATGGGTGTGGTTGGGGAGAGAGGAATATTGTGATCTTTAACACTCTGGTTTTCATCCCTGTATAATCAACATTGCTTAACTTCAAATGATGAAATGTGCCCATATCTTTGAAAGACTAATTTGACATGGGACAATGTCAGGAAGATAAAGGAACTGAATAAACTAGCTTAAAATTTCCAATCAAGTATTGGGAAGAGATGCCTAGGAAATACATAGTGATTTAACCTACAGGAAATGCAATTTCACTTGCAAGATAATTTAAATTTTAGTTTCTCTGATACTAGAGCCTCAGATTCCCAGAATGCTTGTGGGGGAAGGAGGTGGGGGAGGAAATACAAGTTTGTGTTTGACTTGCAGCAGTTTTGAGCTGCAAGACAGAAGAGCATAGCTGAGAATGGCTTGGAAGAAGTACTTGTCCTACAGTGTATTTCTACCAGCAACTAGGAAAACAAATTAGGGGGCAGCCTGCATCTGTAACTATCCTGAGTGTGCAGCACGTGTCCCATGCATGCACCTAAATGATGCCATAGGTAAATTCAGGCTAGCCTAATCTTTGAAAGATGAGTGAAGCCTCTTAACACAGGGGAAGCTGTAGTATGAACTGCAGCACATGTACTGGCAGCAGGTTTCTCTGGGAAGGCTGTACAGTGAAACTATTTGTTGTTTACACAGTGCAGGGCCTTGCAGTTGCTCATTCACCTTTGCACTCACAACAGCACTGCACTATCTAAATGTTGAATGGCTGGGTGAAGAATGCCCTGTGCTGGAATGGAGAATGGGAGAACAACTCATGTGGATCTGAAATAAAATACATGAATGGTTTATATTAACTAGAGTAATATTTTCTGCCTCAGTCATGCCAAAACTTAAAAAGCTTAAAAAGTGTAATTGTGCATGGAAATAAGATTGATTTATAGTGTCAGTTGTAGAGTGGGGTTGGTGAGAAGGAAAAACTGAGACACTCCCTATATAAGACTACTAATATTTTAAATAGAACTGAAAGGTACTGAGCAGTGTCCTACCATGTGACTTAGCTCACAGCAATAACTGTGACTAAGATATGTATCAGCCAGCTTTTTGTTTCTTAAAACAGAAATAATTTTCCTCTGCTCTGGAACAAATGGGGTTAATCCAGGACTAACTGCTGTCATTCTGTATTTCACATGGCATCTTCTCCCTTTTGCTTCACAAAATTTTTGATAGCTGTCACAACTCCAATGTAGCAAAGGAGCCCAGTATGGGGTAGTTGAAAGGGTTCTAAATATGCTAGTGATCACATAAGAGAAATGTTGACTTACTTTCTCAAATATTTTGAAAAACAGGGTATTTTTAAATACAGCAATGCTAACTGCAGCACTTTTAAATGTTCTGAATCTGCCATCTCTTACACATATTTGTTGAACAGATAAAAGAATCCTGATGATAAACAAATGAGAGAAGCAGCATGTCTGAACACAGCCCTTGCCAGGTTAAAAAAAAGGCCACAACACCAAAAAAACCTCTTGCCCTTAAAGCCACCACAGCACACCCTGGCCAAGCACACACCTACTGGTGAGAACAGATAAAAGAATCCTGATGATAAACAAATGAGAGAAGCAGCATGTCTGAACACAGCCCTTGCTAGGTTAAAAAAAAGGCCACACCAAAAAAAGCTCTTGCCCTTAAAGCCACCATAGCACACCCTGGCCAAGCACACACTTACTGGTGATAGACCTCAGGTAGCAAAGCTGATACTTCAAATGGGAATTGGGTATCAAGTGGATAGAGCTAAAATTTAAAACAAGGCTAGGACTCCAGTCACTGCTGGATTTGCATGTCATAATCCATGGAGTCTATTAGTATGAAGCTGAATAGATTTCTGACTATACAGGACCTGTATATGCAGGGTGTTCTTAAAGCACATCCCTGGTTATGTCTGGCAAGGCCAAGCACCATCATAACTATTGTCTGCTGTCAGCTGCTTCTTGTAGGGAGGTAGCAGTTTTTCCATGAAGTAGCACCTGGAATAGATTCTTGATTAAACAGGGAGCAAGTTTTACTTATTGATTACATCCATCCTTTGAATAGGGAGCTGATGTTCCTTAAAACACCCCTATAATGGGCATTGCTATGTAAGAATAGAGATCAGACAGCCAACGTGCCTCTTCTAAGCATCTTAAAAAAAGAACCACTCACCACTAATCTTAATTATGGCTGTTATGCTGAGGAAACAGATTAGCACAGAGGTCACATCACTCCTCTGAACTACAGATGCTATAACGTGTAGAGTATGTTTAACGATGACACCAGCAACTTTAAGGAGTTTGCTGTCCAAATGCATTAAGTATAGAACAGTAATTAATGTAAGACAGTGTTACTAGGAGCAGATACGTCTGTGCTAACGTTGCCAAGGAGAGTACTTAGTACAGCTCCTCCTTGGGTTTCCAGTGTGCAGTGCACATCAAGCGAATTGCCACTGAAGTGCTGACATACTCCAGCCCTCCAACAAACAGCTGTTACTCCAAAGAGTAACCCCAAAGAGCTGCTACTCCCCAAGTGTAGCTGTGAACTGAGGACCTAAGCGATGGCTTTCAGGGACAGCTCAGTGCTCCTTGTTAAAGTGACAACAGCAGCAGTTACACCAAATACACTTGAACTGATTTTTTTTATTTATTTACTAAAATAAACAAGTACATCTTTTTCAGTATAAGTTACATAGTTGCATATGTTTTTAGCTCTTTCTAGGTGCTTTTGGTAATAAGGCAGCAGCAGTCAGCTGATGACTAAAACTTTCAGCATTGCTCTGCCCACAGTCAGTGCAAGGATATCATATTTTCCAGCAATATACAGTTTTACAGAATACACTAAAGATGAACTTTTTATTTGATACAGCTCAAGCAGAAGTGGATTGTAGTGCAATTCTTGCTTCTGGGAAAAGAAAGCCCATACAGTGAAATACAGATGAAAGATGCTCAAACCAAGATTTGTTTACACCATAAGCAGTTAATAAAACAGTTAACTTGGCCACAACTATTTGTGCTTCATAAAAAAACCTACAAAGGCTGTAAACTAAAACCTCATCTGTAAACGTTCTCTGTAGAGTAGTGCTTACTGCAAGACATACAATGTTTCAGATCTGCTTTGGTGGTAGAACTTCCATGTGCTACCATGGAAAAAACAGTTCCAGAAGAAATAGTCCTCTTACAAATCAACAGCCAGGTTCCTGACAAAAGGGAACTGGCAGCTTTAAAATGCTCACGCCCCTTTCTCCATGAAAGAACAGGCCCTGACAAAGTAGAACATCTATGTGTTAAAAGCTATAGTGGCTCAAAAATCAAAACTGGCCCCTGGGCAGGTTCATCAGTTTAATACCCATGTTCTCTAGTTCAAATTTATTCAGTGTAGCCCGAACAGTGTCATCCTTTTCATCAGTCTTGGTCTGGCAGTGAAGCAGGAGCTCCAGTCACTCACTCTTCTCCCTGGGAATCCCCAGGGTCACATTCACCATCACGCAAACTTCTTCTTTGTAGCTGTGAATCGTTCCATGTACTACAAAAAAAAATTCCAAGGCCCAGAAATGAATACAAGGTGAATTACTACTGAAAGCAGCTAAGCTTCTGCTCTCAGACTCAAAAGTGCTCTGCATTTACAGCATATTTTCATTTCCCAGGCATAACTATTAGAGATTTAATTTTCAACAAAAAAAGACCTAGAATTCTCTGCCATTCACTGTAATCCAGATTAATGTCCTAGAAGGGAAGTCCTCACAGTGCTGAACAATCCAATCTCAAGTGTTAAGGATGCTGCATAACAGGAAGCATCCATTCCTTTCTGTCCCATCACAGTGAAGACACCAGTGATCATTAGCTACCCTTCCAGAGACTGATCAGAGAACACTGACCCTGCATCCCACAAGAAAGTTATCTTTGAAGAACTTTGAAAGGCTTTTTGGAGGTTAGTCATGACTCCAGTACCAGTGACAATACCAACAGACTGTGCTGTTGTTCACCAGCATAAAAGCTTGGTATTCTGAGAAGGTACTGGGTAGGGACTTCACCACAAGCTTCTCTTAAAAAGAAAATAAAATTGATAAAAAATAAAGGACACAAACCTTGTCGTAACCTTCCAGTTCTCTAAGTTTCTTGATTTCAAACAGGTTACCTTCTACTGCAAGCAGGGAGATCTGGGAATCACTGAGGATACTCTGGGGAAGCATGCTGAGTTCTAGACAGTTTTCTTCTAAACGCAAGACTTTGAGGCGTGGACAGTGGGAGATCTGCACTGAGATCTGGGAAATCTGGTAGAAATTTAAAAAAAAAGAGAAATGAGATTAAAATGTTAGTGATCCATAACTTAAAATTACTTGTTTCAGCCTAATACAGAACAATTACCATGATGTAAACATAAACTACATTAACAGTAACTACTTAACAACAATGCCTAAGCAAAAATAATAATCAAAATTCCAAGTAATTTTTTTCTTCTTCCATGATAACAAGCAACCTACACATCTGTTTATCAGACTCATACTTAACAACTGTTCAAATAATTGTCTGTATGACTAGGTTCAGGATTTGTTAGTCAAATCAGGCAGTAGGATGTATCAGTACATAAATTCTAGTTACAATCCCTCGTTTCTGTTGTGTCCAGGAGATGTCTTCAGCTCTAAAGTTTTGACTAGCCTATGTTCTGTGGAGGTACCAAGTCTCAAGATAAATGAGGTTCTGAATCTGCGTGTCCATACTATGCCAGTTACCAGACCTGATTCTGATTGAGGTTGAGTTCAATGGCCTGCAGTTCTCCCACAGTGTCGGGCACGTTTTGGATCTGGTTTTTGGAGAGATCTACCACATCCAAGTGGCGAAGACCAGAGAGCTGTGTGGGTACAGTCCGAAGCTGGTTTCCAGATAGGCTCAGAGTTTTGAGAGCTGAAAGTTGTCCAAATGCAGCTGGTAGCTGCCTCAAGTGATTGCCATTCAAGTGTAGTGTTTCCAGTTTTTTCAGCTTGCACAGCTCCTCAGGTAATGCAGCTAGAAACAAATGACAGAACAAAGAGATGACCTCTACAGAGCAGTAGAATCCACACCCATTTAAGCTTCTGCATGGAGATCAGTGCTGTATTACAGTAGTTTCTCCCAGGATTCCTCCCCATTTTCCAGTGAAGGCACAGATCCCTGCACAGGAAGTTATGCCCACTGACAACATGTGCTTTTTAACCATCTTCCCTAAACACCTTAAAAATAATCCCCAGACAAGGCAGACCTTCAAATCACAGGCTGAAAACACTACTCTGAGAGGATTTTAGCCTATCAGTTCTACTCCTCACAAACCACTTCGCCAAGATATTCCCTGACATCTGAAGCCCCACGCAATGCACAGCCTGTTGCATCTGCTGCAGCCCTTTACAGGTATTATTCAGCTCACTCAAAAATAAGTCCCCAGATAAGTCACACCATGTCATACTAGCCCATAAACCTCATCAGGTAAGTTCTGCTGGTGTTCCTTCACCCCTCATTCCACCAACACACCTGTACAGCCTGCAGCACTCATGAGTTATGCTATAGAGTCAAAGAGGTCTGCAAATTACATGTGCTCTTCAAAAAGATAATACATAATCAACACATTAAAAAGTTACGTTTCTTCACCTCATTCTAATTTTCCATAAAGTTGGACAAACATTCTTTCCTAGAGAAATAGTAACAACTATTGAATGGCCAGCAATGTTTTCTATAGATCACCTTCATTACCTGTTCTTCCTGTGAGTACTAAATCATCTGACAGAGTTAAACCTTCAGATCAGACAAGTCACAGCACAGAAACGTTGTGGTTTTAAGGACTAACATGTCATTTTAAAACTGATCATACAACTAAGTTGGCAACCAGCTTTTATTAATTTACAGTCTTCTGGTTTGTTGGGTTTTGGTTTTTTTTTTACCCTATACATGAATTCCACAGATTTCAGTTTAGGTAACTGAACTCCCCATTTACATCCTATGAGAGTTAAATCATTAAAGTCAGGTTATTTTTTTTATATATGTGGAGATATTAATTAGTGAGCATACTCAGTTTGTTGTTGTTCAGAGTTAGGCTCTTCAGGAAGGAAAATTTTCCAATGAGTGGTGGCAAGAGCTCTATTTTGTTGTTCGACAAGTCTATTGTCCTTAAGTTGGTGGTTAGCTTCTGCAGGTCTTCAGGAAACTGTGGGGGAGGAAAAAAACACAGCACTTAAATATCTGATACAGCTTGGAATGTTCGAGTGACACAGCTTAAAACTTGAATAGAAATTTGTATTGCTATTACTGTCGTTTGTCTCATAGTATCCCATCACCACAGTGTACAAGTAAGCTGGCAAGTTTGCTTAATAGGTATTTTAAAAAGTATTTCTTCATCTGAGGAAGGGAAAAGGGATATAAGGGGGACAGTCTAACATCCAGGAAGAGTAGTTTGTAATCCAAATGATTTAAATGAAAAAGGGAACAAGAAGTATACCATGACATGACCTCACTTATGTTTTAGTTCTCTCACGTGTTTCTCTTAACACGCCTGTAATTCAAAAATATTCTACAGCTCATTATCAACTCTAAATTTTAGCAGGGTAGGGTTGGGAAATTTTTTCACTTACTTCCCTTTTTAAATAATTATGTAAACCATTTTCCTTATTCTTATTTACATCCTGTATCACTTTAATCTGCACTTGCACTGAGCTAAAAAAAAAGAAAAACATGCCAGTGGTTTTGATTCTCCTTTGGTTTGGCAGAGGAAAAGGGACAAAAGAAGGTAGGTAGGATAGCAGGAGAAGATACTTTAAAAAAGTCTTGGAAAATTACTGCAATATAAAGGTATTCTGGCTATCCTGAATTGTTACTCAGCTTAAGGTTAAAGGACATGTCTGTGTTACTGCAGTTGAGTCAAAGTCAAGAGAATTTCTGATATCATAAACTTCCAAATGCCTGCAGCCCAGTGCCCAGATTATTGATATGACTACAGTTAAATACAGCGTAAGTATCTAAACATGATAAATTGTGGAGCATCTTCCTAGGTAACAATATGGTTATAAAATTTACACTTTTTCCCTCAAGTTTACAGCCCATTTTAAAAAAGCACAGCACCATAGCTAGTGCCTCCTGAACATACATGCCCTCTGAAGCATAAGCTTATAAGCATACAAGCACCCTGACAGATAAATCCTCACTTAGAAGGGAGTTCAAGTGAAAAATCTGTGAAAACCAAAGATAAATAATTAAATAACTATTACCCAGCACTATTTGTGATAAATACACGTATGTAATGCATTAAGACAAGGAGGTGCTATTTTTTCCCCAGAAGTGTCAGTCATGCACACCAGCAGCTGTTGCCCCTCCAGTGACATTACCTCTGTCAGTCCCTTTCCTGTTAGCTGAAACACTCCAGTTTTCTGTGCTGTCTCCAGGTGGGCTTTTAATGCACTATTTCCCATCCTAACAGTTCTCTGTCAAGCGTACAGAGTTCGAGTGATTGTCTCAGCCAGTTTCAGTTACTCTGCATGAGAGTCTCCAAAGTCTCTGTGATAAAGCAAATGCAAAAAGTCATTTCATTGTGTTCAACGCTCCAACATTTCAACACAATGAATCGTTTCACTGCTGCGTTTTTGTCTCTCTCGCTACTAAAATGTAGAACTTGAAAGATTTACCTCACGGTGCCTTCAATAGAGCAGTTTGAATGCTGAAACGAGGCACCTCGTTGAAACTAAGGGGGAAAATTGTGTACTTTCCAGATTTCGCCTCTTTCAGGGCCTGGTAGTGCAAGGAATTTCTCTACGGAGACTGGACGTGATTATCGCAGTTTTATTTGGGTTTTTTGGAAACGTTTGTTTAGCTTAGAGTGCTCTGCCGCGCCTCCAGACGCAGACGCAG